CTCTTTCTCTTCCTCTCTCTCTTTCTCTTCCTCTCTCTCTTTCTCTTCCTCTCTCTCTTTCTCTCCTCTCTCTCTCTCTTCCTCTCTCTCTTTCTCTTCCTCTCTCTCTTCCTCTCTCTCCCTGTCTCTCCCTCTTTCCCTTTCTCCCTCCATCCCTCCCTCTCTCTCACTCTCTCTCTCACACACACACATAGGCTTGCACATGTGTATGTGTGTGTGTTTATAAATAAGCTTGCACGTGTGTGTATGTGTGCGTGTGAGTGTGCATGAACTGATAGACAGACAGGCAGGTAGATAAAAAAAAAAAAGAAAAAAAAAAACATATTTATATCGACGTATATACATCTATCCCTCTATACCCCTCACCCCCACCCCGCCCCCGCCCGGCCCGCATCCCTCAGTATTCGTCCCGCGCCCCAGAGCCCCGATAAGCATCTCGTTCATCCTCGCTTCCCACTCGGAGAATGGAGTTTTTGTGCCAAGGCTCCGGGAGGTGCAGGTAGTTATCCACTCGTGCATGACTCACGTACATGCCAATTACTTTCCTGGCGGTGTCGGGGTAATCTAGGTCTTAATGAGCGTCATGTGAGGGAGATCCTTGCCGTTGACCCGTCGTGGGAACGTCGGTGCAACGAGGATCCTGCAGGATGAAAGGTGCCGAAGCGTTGATGTATGAGGGCGCGGATACGAAGGGAAATTTATCGACGACGAAATAGTCATAACCCAAGATCTCTACTTGGGTTGTACGATATGGTATCAATAGAAACAACAATTGATATCTATAATGGTATCATATATGGCCATAAAAGCTTAATCAACCAAGGAGTTACACAGCCCCATAGCTTACTTTTCCATTAGATCGTTACTAAGTTCCAAACCGGCTGTTTAATTATTGGATCAGCAGTAATGTAATCAGCCAAGAGTAACTACTCAATGCAATATATTATGATAAGGTATAATTTACTTTTTGTACCCGATATCAAGGCAACATCTACTAAATCTCTTGAATAGACTGGCGTTCAGCCAATTCTTATTATAATAATAAAGTCAGTGGATTTATCGCAATTCTTTGTTACTTAGTTCCATTCCTTTCTTGTCGAACTATGATGTATTAGCACCAACATATCTTCCCGTCTCTCCTCTCCGTTCTCCTTCGACTTTTTTTTTTATAGAAATGCGATCTAAAACTATCTGGGCTTTTATACTATTTCTGCAGAGAACCTGTTTTTCCTCCTTTTTTTGTACTTTCACACATTTTCTTTCCGTCTTCGCACTGACCCGTCGTTTCTCTTACTTCCTTCACAACTATTTCCCCCCTACCCCCTCCCCCACCCTTTTGCCCTCCTCACCTTGCCTCAATTGCCTTGCTTCGCTTCTTATTTACTCCGACCGCTATTTAACCTTTCTCGTTACCATGTCCACCCCAGCCGGGAGGCCTCCCTCAACGGGCAACGCCGCCTTTTTACCGCCTTTTCACCGCCGACTCCATGTCAGTGCCCTGTATGATCACACCTTCTCTTCCTCCGCGGGCATCCTGTTCCCTGCAACGCCCCAGGTCTCCCCTCCCACTCCCTACCCTATGACACCCCCACCTCCACCCTCATTACTAAAACAACCTCCACCTCCACCCCTGCCCTTATGCCTCCCCTAGCTTCCTCCCTCGCCCCTGAGACAACCCCGCCTCCACCCCACTCTCTCCCCAGTCTTGTTCCTCCCCCTCCTCTTCCTCCCTGTTTTGACGTTGGTGTTGCCTCTAGGAAGGGAATTCTTTTGTCACGTCTTTGTGGAAGCTTTTTGTCTACGTGGCTTCGTAAACTTTTAATTTATTCTTTGCGCCTCCTAATTATCTCGAGGAAAAATGTCAACGGAGCCAGTGCATTCGATAGATTATCTTCGATGATGAGGATAATGACAGTGAACACGTCTTATCGCACTAAGGATTAGACAGAGGGATGTAGACGAGTGTGTTGCGAGTTTATTCGTGTCTGTGTGAGGAGGAGGGAAAATCGAGGAATCTTTTCTTCCCGCGAGTGTGGGACCGGAAGCATCTAGCTGAATCCTCGTTGCTAATAACATTTTCGTGTTAATGAGCGTTTACAGGGAGAGGCAGGGACTTCGGCCAGTATGAATTCTCACGTTCCGAAAGCTAATCTTTACTGCAGAGGAGCCAAAGAAAAAAAATGTCACACTTCGTGGGCTGTAAAGTAATAAAACCCGAAACGGCATCCTTATGGTAACTTACATCGGCGCTTTTAATCTCTTGCTTCACCTACTGACCTGCGATAACCTCAACTTCCCCTCTGCAAGTTCCCAGAGGAAGCTTGATCTGCAGGAGGGTCAGATGAAGGATTTAGACAGCCGCAGGACAGAGGACATTCCCTGTCATTCCTTTTCGACTGTCTTTATATCTCGAATTTCCTGTAATACAGTGTGGAGGATAAATTCACCGAACGATACTGAGTCCGTATGGTAAACTGCTCTTATTCTACATGATACTATTTATAGGGAAGCTACCATCGTCCAAGAAAAGAACCAAATGCACACAGACTAAAAGAAGCATACAGAAGAACATTCCGCGAAAAAAATTAAACTTGAAGAGGAAGAAGAAGAAAAAGAAAGAAGAAGAAAAAAGAAAGAAAGAAGAAAAACGTCGGCCATAACTTTCACAAAAATTGTTCCAAAATACTCATAACATATCTAAGCGGAATACAAATAAAGCCGAAGAAAGCCGAGGAGTAGCTGCCCGCGTGAGAACCCGAGGAGCTGACCCGCAGGTACCGGGGGTCGAGCGCACACGTACCAGTACGGTGGAGCTGGAATTTCCGGCAACCGCGGATTGATTGTAATCCCCAGGAAAACCTTTTACGGCGTTGCAAATTACGCCCAGACAACTGCTTGGCATTTTCTTTGGCAGACAAATAAAAATACACTGTGTAAGAAAATCTAAATTATTTCATCTACGTACGTGTTTCATGTATGTAAAAAAACATTTTAGAATGTACTCTAATATATGCAAATAGACACATACACATGGTGTATATCTATGTATCTATCAATATACCACATCTGTTCGTGTTCAAATTTGTTTACAGATATATGCATTTATATATGCATGCATACATACACATATACAATATATATATATATATATATATATATATATATATATATATATATATATATATATATATATATATATATATATATACATATATATATATATATATATATATACATATATTATATTATATATATATATATATATATATATATATATATATATATATATATATATATATATATATATATATATATATATATATATATATATATATATATATATATATATATATATATATATATATATATATATATATATATATAGTATATATATGTATATATATGTATATATATGTATATATATGTATATATATATATATATATATATATATATATATATATATATATATATATATACATATATATACATATATATACATATATATACATATATATATATATATATATATGTATATATATGTATATATATGTATATATATGTATATATATATATATATGTATATTTATATATATATATATATATATATATATATATATATATATATATATATATATATATATATATATATATACAGATACATGCACATGTGTGTGTGTGTGTGTTTGCGTGCGCGCGCGTGTGTGTGTATGAGTGTAAGTATGTATATCTATGTATATGCTACACGAGAAAGAAGGAGCGATGCAGAATGAGAAAAATCAGAGGAATTCGGCGACATCTCCGCCGGCGCTCCTCCTGCCCGGCCGCGAGGGCCCAGATAAACAGAGGTGTGTACAGAAGGCTTGTCGTAACCCTGACCTTCCCGAGGAGCACTCACTAAAACAGAAAAATCCCAACCACAACGACCAGCATTCTTGACCTCCCTAACACGATGAGCGTGACTTCTCCTCGAGGTCGTGCTCGCGTGGAGGAGGAGGAGGAGAAGGAGGCTGTTGCCGTCTTTGTTGTTTTTTTACTGGTACTCAGTTTGGAAAACTACTTAATCAGTTAAGGCAAATTAGTTGGCTACGTCCATGAGACTGGTGCGCAAGTAATTCTTCAATATTCTAAAAAAAGAGGATTTCATTGGCGTAAAAATGTAAACTGCATTTAATGAGCAGCAAAATAAAGAATGAAAATTAATTATTTATAAATAAAATGCTATAAAAAAATGCAAGGCGGATCTACCAATAGTTAGTAAAGGGTTAAAAAGGAAAATAAAATCTTCACCTCAGACAAACTCCAAATCAAATCCAAAAGAATAAAACCCGAATAAATAACCATCAGACGCCAAACCCTCCGAGCAACGCCAGCGGTTCCCCCGCACATTCACGCCCACACGGAAATCGGTTCAGGGTTAAGACACCTTACGAGTATCGCCAGGTAAACCCTCGTACTAATTATCGCGAAGGTGTTAAGCGCCAGGTGGAGGTCGCGCCCCTTGTGCTTCATCTTGTTTCGGGCCGCTGCGCCGCCCTCGCTTTGTTGCGCCGGGAAATTACCGCCTCACTTCCTATGGCGTTTCGCATCATTTAAAACTACATTAGGTATTGTTATGGCGTGCGTTGTGTTTAGTTGTGTTGTATTTGTGTTGTTTGTTATTTGTGTCTGTATGTGTGCCTGCGTGCTGCATTTCGTTTTTTTTTTTCTATTTGCTTGATTTATTCAACTTCTTACTTCCGAATTCGGATATATAATTTTATTCTCATTTTTACAATTTAAAATTTAATTTCCCTTAATGATTATTGATGGCACAAAATGAAAAAAATGAAATAATTTCAGTTAAAAATGACGTAAAAAATAATAGATTCTAATGCAGTTCATTCTTATGAAAATCATGTAATACAGAAAAAAAATCATTAAAATGTGTATAATCACAATGCCGTCTCAGCACACAGCTCACATCCAGTGACATTCCACTGCAGTGAATAAAATTCCATAA